GTCTTCAGTGTCACATGATCCTTCTAAAAAACAGATACACTGCTTAATAGTTTTGCAGGTATTAAGCAGCATTTTCCAGGATTCTTTGATTAATAAACTTTCACAAGAAAAGCATTTGCAAAAACATATTTTGTAAAAACCAGCATTCAAAATTATTCATAGCCAAATTAAATGCAAAAAAACAAATGAACAAAAACAACATAAAACTATAAAATTGATTGCTTTGATTTATTTACACGTTCAAAGCCAATACAGTGTAAATTAAATATACATAAAAGCTGTGAAAGAGCTCATATGCGGTCTATGCTGATACAACAATAATTGAAATCAATCAAACAAAAGTAAGCAAATACAAAAATTAAGCAAAATATTTCACATTTTATTTTTTTAATTAATGTACATTTATAAAAAATATACTTTGTGTTATATTATCATGTCATTAAATGATAAAAAAAACAACAACTAGTTTTTTTGAGATTTTCATAGACTGGCCTAATCATGTGTGACATAAATCTTTACATATATCCTTTATATTTTACATGCTGATATTTGCAATCATCGTGCATAAGAATCAGCAAACCTCGATTATGAAACACAAGCAGCCCTTGCGCAACCAACGACAGCAAACCAACATTTATGAATCGAAGTTTCAAAAGCCTACGACAAAAGACAATTTGAACTTTTCCCAAACTGTGAGCCTCACTGGACTTTAAACGGTTTTACAAACTACTTTTAATAGCATTCTGAATTACTCTGTCTCTTTTCCATTTGGCTTTCCATTTGGCTTTATGAGCAGGTTTAGCTCACAGGTTTAACCTAGTAAATTAGTTTTTCATCTCCGAGAATGCCTTCAGTTCAATGTCACAACAGAATAACTGAGACATTAGTGCATTGTGCTCATCTTCGATCAAATCAAATGAAGTGTTCGTATGACAGTGAACAGACGTTCGCACCCATCTGTCAATCATCAGGCCATGAAATGGATGGTTTGGATACTCTCATGCCTCTTAAAGGGATAGTTCACCCCAAAATGAAAATTTGATGTTTATCTGCTTACCCCCAGGGCATCCAAGATGTAGGTGACTTTGTTTCTTCAGTAGAACACAAATTATGATTTTTAACTCCAGCCGTTGCAGTCTGTCAGTCGTATAATGCATGGCAATGATAACAAAATCTATGAGTAAAAAAAACATGCACAGACAAATCCAAATTAAACCCTGCGGCTCGTGACGACACATTGATGTCCTAAGACATGAAACGATCGGTTTGTGCGAGAAACCGAACAGTATTTATATAATTTTTTACCTCTAATACAGCACTATGTCCAACTTCCTTGAGCACGCGCACGGCATCCGGTGCGTGAGGTGTGTACGCGCTCTGGCGTAGTTTACGCAAGCGCCGGAAGTGATCTCTCGCACGTATACGTCATTCATTGTTTACACAGTGCACAGTCATTGTAGGTACGACGGCTAATCAAAATGGTACTTACTTGCGCTTATCCGGATTGTTCAAACCGACTTAAAACTAAAAGATTACGTTCTCTCGCACGAACTCATTCGGGATTGGTGACTTTCCACGTATTCCCAACTTCTGAGCCTGCTCGCCTGAAGTTATGCTTGATTGCTCTTCGGCTGGATATCAACACACCCATTAACATAAACTACGCCAGAGCGCATACACACCTCACGCACCGGATGCCGTGCGCGCGCCCCCAAAGACAGTTGGACATAGTGGTGTATTAGAGGTAAAATATGATATAAATACAGTTCAGTTTCTGGCACAAACCGATCGTTTCGTGTCTTAGGACATCAATGTGTCGTCACGAGCCGCAGGGTTTAATTTGGATTTGTCTGTGCATGTTTTTTTTACTCTCATAGATTTTGTTACTATTGCCATGCATTATACGACTGATAGACTGCAACGGCTGGAGTTAAAAATCATCATATGTGTTCTACTGAAGAAACAAAGTCACATACATCTTGGATGCCCTGAGGGTAAGCAGATAAACATCACATTTTCATTTTGGGGTGAACTATCCCTTTAAAGACCATCTTCACCCTTTGAGATCAACAAGACACAGATGTAATGGACTAAACTAAATAATTTCCCCCTGATCTGCTGCCAGTCACCAGCTAGCCTGACACTGAACACTGAACAAGACAGAATGCCTATAGTTTGTTTCACCCTCATTTAACACTGTTTCCCAGTGCTAATGAAGCCATAAAGCAGCTAACAACACACACGCAGCCACTTAAACTAAATAAGCCTAACCCATAAAACATAAGAGGTTCATGACGTCGGTGTTACTGAATTTGAGGGATTGAATTTCTCAAGTGCTTCTTGCATGAAATCAGGGTGCACTGCTTGTTAATAACACTTACATTTTTGTTTAAAGGTGTTAGTCAGCCCAAAATTTTAATTTTGTCATTACTGACTGATCAAAAAATAATAAAAAAATAAAAATGATTTACGTTCCAATAAATAAATACATAAAAAGATGATGAGTAAAGAGAATAATGATAATTAATAAATTATATAATAAATAATGAAACCGTTTTCATTTTTGGGTGAATATTTGTTATGTTCGAATGTTTGATTGTAACTGACTAAAAGATTTAAAATAAATATTTTTTTTAAATAAGTCTCTTATTCTTACCAAGGCTGCATTTATTTGATCACAAATAAAGTAAAAACAGTAATATTATTACAATTTAAAAGAACTGTTTTAGTCTAGTTAAATATATTTTAAAATGTGATTTATTGCTGTGATGCAAAACTGAATTTCCCAACATGCCAACTGGCTTATAGATTACAGATAATCGGAAAAGGACAAAATAGGATAGAAAAGATCTCTAACCTCTCTAGATTAAAGGAAAAGCAGCTGTAAGTTTAAACCACTTTTATAATTGCAAAAGAGCAATTACACATACGTATAAGCATTTTTAATGAATTAATTTGCTTTGAAAGCACTCAGTTTATCACATTTTTATTGAGCACGTAATCACATCAGAGATGCACTTTGCAAGTGTCTCAAATCCTTGGATACTTTGGCTCCATTCTAAACATAGCGTTGCAGCTATATCTGAATTACTTTTGACATTTGTTGTATTTTAAAAACAGAAATTATCAGTTGTTTTTCCGAAGAAGCACTATAACTTACTAAACGCTAAAATACTAAAAACGGTCCTAAATCTTACCTTACTAAAAACAATGCAGTTTAATAGATAAGCATCCTGAACAAGTATCAAATTGTGTTTAAATGAAGCATTAGAACTAGATATAAACGACATGATGGTCAGATTGATTACAATTTTGAAATGTAAATGAAATAACCCAACAACCAGTTACAAAATGTACTTATAACAATTACATTTTTTAAATATATTTTCTGTGTACAAATTGTGTAGTACTTGTCAAAGTATGATAGACTGACAGCAAGCCTGTACTGAAGCCGGCATCTCTAACTACATTCTTTAACATAATCTCACTTTAGAAGTGATGAAAGACATCCTTCAGCTTTGCCCAGTTGAACTGAACACATTATGTGGATCATTGAGTAAGATAACGGCACTTTTCATACATAGAGCAGCTATAATGACAGCTCTGGGGTACAGCTCAATTATTTACAATTACCTCTTACTAAATTCTTATTGCCTTATCAAAGCTAAATAAATATCACAAGCTGTTTCCTGGACACAGATCAGCTATTGTCTAATGATAATTCAACACAGAGTCTAAGCTTTGCAAAGATCATAACGGGTTCAGAAGACCCCATATAGGAGAGCTATATGAGCGGCGAGCATGACAGATCTTTCATTTTTTTGAGTGAACTGTTTCTTTAAAATTCTGGATATGAGATTACTTGACGTGTCTAATCTGAGTGAATTTCAGGGACTCAGCAGACTTTATGCAATATGCTCTAAAATGAATGATAAAAATGTCTAGCTGCTCTTAAAACTTAAAAGGGTTAGTTGACTAAACATTTTTGTTGCTTGAAATAAAATAAACATGGGCTGAAATAAAATAAAACAAAACAATTTTTTTCATTCATTTTTGTTTCAATTTATTAAACATTTATCAATTATCAATTATAATGCAAAACTGTATAGTCATTTAAAAACAAAACTAACAAAAAAAGACAAAAATGCATAACAAAATCAGAAATTAAAGTGAAAACAGAAAATATAAAAATTAAATCTAATTCAAATATTTACAAAAAATTATAACAGTATATCAATGATACTGAAAGAACACTAAATCTTAATCATTATCGGATATTTACAGGTTCCTGACCTAGTGCAAAAGTATATGCGTATAAGCAAGCATATTCTCCATCATTGATAAGTATATTTAAAAAATATATGCTACTATCATTTGCATCCTCTCCAATTATATAAAACAACCTACAGTAGAGGCTAAAACAACATACATATTTCTCATGTTATTATAAGTGCATCAACATCATACAACCTGTTTGTAGAGAAACATCTAGTCAATATCCATGCCTTCTTTCAATTATATGCATCACAACCAATGCTTAAAACATAAATCTGTCTATGTGCATTCATATTTTGTTGCTTATGCCAAAACTTCCTCTAAAACACTTTCTAAACCCCCCCACCTGAAGTCAACGAGTTCATTCCTTTAGGCTGCTGATCACATGCTCAAAAAAGAAGCACATTTCATCATCCTTCGCTTGCATAATAAATACAACCAATGCAACCTGTGCAGTGTTTCTCTGCCAGGCTTTTGAAGAAAATAAACGTCAAGCAGAACAAGCCTCTTTGCATCGCAGATGGCAACAAACGTCCCAGTGGGCAGACGCCAGCCTGTGGACGTTATTCCAACCTGCGCAAGCGAGGCTGTAGCTGCTACAAGCACCATTTGATCAGTATCTCCCCTTTTGCACCGGCTCGCATTGACAGCTCTGACAAACATCCCAACAGGCTGATAATGGGATCGTTATATGGTAATGGCACGCTTGATGCCACCCTGCTAGAAAGGAATTCAATGCATGAAGATTGAGACTCACCTTAAGTGCATGATTTGAGTTGTGATGTTGTTTTAGTCTGCAGGGTTTATCCAGGGAGCTGTTGGTCCTCCATCATTCTGTGTGATTCGCAGCACATGCTCTGAAACGACAAGGGATGCATGTTGTCATGCGCTGAATTCCATGCAGAAGATGCTTGAATCCCTTTAGAACAGAGCCGCTTGCAGGCTGCGCAGACAGCTGGATCCTCAGCAATACAGATGCTGGATCACCAGGAGGGAATAACATGAAAAAAGGAGGAACGGGAGGGAGCTACTGCATGTTAGAGGAGAAATTTTGAAGCAAGAGAGATTTGATTCCTCACACTTACCATAAACACTCCCTCACCATCCCTGATGGAGAGCGAGGGATGATGCCGGCAGGAAGGAGGAGGGGAGGGTGGCACGCACACACATACGTGCAGACGTGTGCACATGCATACACACTAGGATCTGGCAGTTCTGCGGGATGCGTAAAGCCTGGCTTCTATCCTGGGTTGCCTTGTGGGAGAGACAGAGGAAAAGACAGCTACTGTAGCCGCCCGCTGGTTAATGCACTGCAACTGCATCTCAGTCCCACAGCATCACGTCATCATCCAGCCTATGCATTAAATAACAACCAACTACATATATGTGGGTTTGTGTTACTCCACTCGTTGCATAGCTCTTGTTTATTTGGAAGTGATTCAGGATTCACACAGCATGCTGTTCCTTCCATATGGTTGCTGATTGAAACTGCATCATTGTGCATGGCTTAAATAATACTGCAGAACAACATCATCATCATCATCCTAGTGTAGTGCTGTGATTTATCCTCCAGCCCTGGAAATGGCAACGGAGAGCTAAGACGGGAGAACAAAACATGAAATGACTGATGTTAAAGGTGCATAGCTTCATTTCTAGGCCACTAGTGGCACTAAACAGAATTGGAAAAAAATATATTGTTTTGAAAGAAATTTTCCAAACATTCCTCCCACCTGCAGTTATGACAAAGTAGTAGTTCTGACAGCTTCGTGTCACTGGTTGAGCAAGCAGTGCAATAAATCATCCAAGGAGGCCTATAATACCTGGAAAGAGATATCGGTTAGCACAGGGGTGCCCAAACTCAGTCCTGGAGGGCCGAGTTTAGCTCCAGCTTGCCTCAACACACCTGCCGGGAAGTTTCTAGTATGCCTAGTAAGACCTTGATTAGCTTCAGGTGTGTTTGATTGATACTCTGCAGGACACCGGCCCTGCAGGACCGAGTTTGGGCACCCCTGGGTTATCATATTGCACTTTCCTGTCTATTTCACACTTTTAACTGAGATAAAAAGTAAAACAATTAGAAATGTAAATATATATACACACATACATTATAATGTAAATTACATTACACATTTAAATCCTATACCTGTTAACAGATTAACTTTAGCAGTCCTAAAATGCTAAAACTAATCTAAAACATAAAGGTTCAAGTAGAAAATAAAGCAAATTAAAACGACAAATTTACAATAAAAAAAACAATAATAAATGTCAAATATAAACAGAAAGCCTAATAAAATAAACACAATAAACCTGTTGTGGACCTTTGTTTGGGCCCCTGACCTTGAGGAGGATTTGTACAACCTGGCAACAACTCTGAGGAGGATTCACACAATCTGGCATCCCTTGTGCCCGTGTGCCAGTATTGTTGTCATTCTGTTTGCCCTACATTTCCATCCATAGCACAGCCGCATGTTGCGTCACCACCAGCTGTGTGGATCCATGGAATAAAGATCCCGATCCACTTCTGTCACATGAAACCACATGCTGTTTACTGTACTAGACGTGCAGAATATATAGATATCAGAGCTGTTCTCATCGACAAACAAGCGCGTGGATAACACTGCGTTTCTGTATCTTATCGACTCCTGAATAAGGATTTAGACGGACGCGAATCATCCTCTGCGGGCTGTTTTGTCGGTCAAGGGAGCTAAAATGTCGATTGAAAAACAAAGTGTGTCCGAGGAAAACCTTCAGGGTATGTCAAAACAGCTCGAGTTAATGTTCTTTTTAATGCATGATTCTACTCAAAACCACATTCATAATAGCAAAATGTATTTTTTTGTATACGTCCGTAATTAGACGATGATCGTTCATGCCATGCATCAAATTCCAGTTTCACATAAAAATAAAATGTGGCTTGTTAATATCTAACGTCATAATATGTGGTAAGAAGAAGCAGGTGTGTGCAAAAAAACACAGTAATGACGCATGTGATCTGCAGTAATAAACATGGAAGCTACAAGACGTGCGATTTGTGAACGAATCCTTCTTTAGAGCCTGGTCTCTTGAATGATTCATTCAGGAATCGAACTGAACCGTTCTCGATTCAGCAACTCGACGACGCACTGAACAGAGAATCAGAATCAGAATTAGCTTTATTCGCCAGGTGTGCAAACACACGAGGAATTTGTTGTGGTTTTTTAAGGTGCTCCTGGTACATACATACATGCATACATACACATTTGACATGAAAACAGAAAAAAACAGAGAACCGCCTCTTTAAAGGGGTCATATGATGCGATTTCAATTTTTCCTTTCTCTTTGGAGTGTTACAATCTCTTGGTGCATAAAGAAGATCTGTAAAGTTGCAAAGACTAAAGTCTCAAATCCAAAGAGATATTCTTTATAAAAGTTAAGAGTCAACCACGCCTACCTAAAATGGCTCGTTCGAACACGCCCCCACATATCTACATCACTATGTGGGAAGATTTGCATAACGCCGCCCAAATGTTCACGCAAAGAAAGAAGGCGTAACTTTTAGTCTCACTGTAGTTTTGTTGACGCTGTAGCCATGTCGTGAAGACGTTATGTGCTTCGTTGTGAAAGCGAAACTACTTTGTTTGGTCTTCCAAAAGAGGACGATATCTGCTTCGTCATGCCTAGAGCTGATCTGTGCTGGTCGCTGAGGGAATACATCAACTTTCACCGTGGACGAAGCGGAGTCCAGCAACATATGGTTGCTGCTCATTCGTCGGATCCGCCGGGCGCGCCGTTCTCGACCCCGCCGCCTCAGCTCACTCTATCCCGGCATCAGCGCACGCTAAGACGGGGCTTCTCCTCACGCTAGGCTGCTGTGTTTTTCGTTGTGAAAGCGAATCTACTTTGTTTGGTCTTCCAAAAGAGGATACGACTAGAAATCAGTGGTTAAGTTGTATTTACAACACTGTTCCAGAACACTTCAACCCAAATATCCAGATGTGTGCAGCACATTTTATGGAGGACTGTTTACTGATCCTGGGAGAGTAACGTTAGACTAAAATGCCGGCAGTTCTGACTCACGTAAGTACGTTTTCATTTAAAGGATTTTCCACTGATGATTCAAACGTGAGTTTTGAGCAGTGTAGAGTAGTGCTTGTTGTTTGTCATTTCTCCGATCACAAATGCAGACAGAGTTTTATGTTTACGCGGCGCGAAGCAACGCAATGCGTAAAAAGACAGTATAAGTCATTATAATCCATAATTATGTCCCCCCACTGGATGCAACAAATGCCTAATAATGGGTTTTAATGTTTATGTCTCATAGCTTAACGTATGCGTAACATTTCCGTCACACGCTTGAGGTATTCGGCCAATCACAACGCACTGGATAGCTGGCCAATCACAGCTCACCTCGCTTTTTCAGACCAATGAGCTTTGTAAAAATCGACGCGTTTCAAAAAGTTACTTAACACAATTTTTTTTTGTAAATGGAAATAACCTTATTAATATAACGTACACAAAAAAATTAAAAATAAATACATTTATAGTCACCACGGAATGGTGCAAAGAATCACTAAACCAGTGTAACCGGTTCTTTGAAACGAACTGTCTGAAAGAACCGATTCACAGAAAGGAGACTTCAGAGAGGTGGGGTTTACACAGCCTGATTTCATTGGATGTTGAGTGAAAAATGATTTGACATCATGAGCTATTTATAGCCAGAGCTGTATTTATTTTCCTCTGACTGGCTTGAGTCTCAAGTGCTGGCATGTTCTCTGTTTATCTGGATATTCTGGTCGCTGTGTCATGATCACTGATTAATGCACAGCCCAGTTTTCAATGTCATGTACATAAAATATTCAAAACAAGTTATGACATGTGATGCTTGCAATACATTGATTCTTAAGAAAGCCAACAATGGGTGAGGAGTGCACAAGATTAAGTGTACCACACAGAAGCATTTGCAAGCTGTGTTTTGCATACTTAAATATATAAATACAAATAATGCTGCTGCCATGGCATTGTCAGAATTATGACATTGGGCTTTTAAAAAAATATCTATATATATTTTGAACATTTATATTATAAAGAACTTCTAAAAGAGGCTTAAACACTACAGTAGTTGTAGTTAAAGCTTCATGCAACACTAAAGACGTTATGTGGTTTTGCTGCAGGTTCCTGGGTGGAGCTGCATTTTAATAATGGAGGCGGCAGCACTCCTAAAGGAGGCTCTGAGGATCAGTCTGCCAGCACGGCCCCAAGCGGAGACCTGGAGAAGATGCTGCTGGATGCTCAGCACGAGTCGGGCAGGAGCAGCTCAAGAGGAAGCCTGCCATGTGACAGGTCAGTACTTCAGCAGACTTTAATTTAGTGCATGAACTGCACTGAGATGCACACAAGACGTTAATTTGATAGGATGAGCATGTTATAATAAATCTTATAATCATTTTCTCACCAGTCCCTCAAGATCTCAGACTCCTTCGCACTTGCGCAGGGGCTCCGAGGTCCACAGCTCTGGAGAAAAGAACAGCTCACAGGTAGACATTAGCAGCACACATAACCTTGTCATGACTTCATTAAATTGCACTAAAGCAGGTGTACTACTGCTTTCATGTAGCTAGATCAATTCTTTAGAAAGTACGATTCACGATTCCCATGGTCAAGAAATGTCCATATGAATATTTTATATTCATCATCGGAATATAAAATAGCGGTTTTCAACCCTGAAAAAAATCATGTTAATGAATATTAAAAGGTAAAATTGATATTTAATAATAAAGTAAAATAATAATACAATTATTAAATATGAAATATGCATTTTTATGTCTCTAAAATACTTCAAATCCATTTTTATTATTGATTTTTAATTTAAGTGTCTTTAACTACATAGTACTGACATTTAAATGATTCGATGTTTCCATGGTCAAGAAAAATGTAGAATTATAAGGGACTTTAAAATAGTGGTTTCCTGGCCTGAATTAAAAATAAAAACAGTCATGAAATATTCTATTGGAAATATGGATTTTTTTATGGTTCTAAAATTTTGGACCCACTTTTATTTACTTATTTGTTTACTATTAAGAGTTTTTAACATCCTAGTATTAACATGTAAATGATTCATTTGATACAATGCACTTGCCGTGTACATGCATGTTTTTACATTTTCCTTACCTTAATAAAAAACTGCATGTAATTATGTAATTAATATGATTACACTGTTGACCCACCCTTAAACCTAACATACCACAAAACCTGTCCCTACCCTTAATCATAACCTTATCCCACCTGTATTTTACAATACAGCATGAACACAATCAGTGCACTGCTCTCAACAATTCATAAGTACATTGTATTTAAAAACACCAAAAATGAGGTGGGACCAAAATTTATTTTAAAAATTATTTTTTTTAATAGTCATGGATATTTATTGGTCAAAAGGTGTGGGATCACTTAAGATCAATGTAATTATCTGAGTTTATAAGATGGCCAATACAATAAACAACTAGAAACATGAAAGTCATCTGTTAGTTAGTCTAATTTTGTTCTGGTCTGGTTTAAGTCAGAGGAAGACTATTTGGAGAGGAGAAAAGAGGTGGAGATCCTGATGAAGAAAAATGCAGACTGGATCTGGGACTGGTCGAGTCGACCGGAAAACCTGCCGCCCAAGTACCTAAACCTTGAGAAAACATGCTGTTTAATACTCTTAATAAACCAATTTGGCATGAAAAGCATCTTAACATAGTAATGAGTAAGATCAAGCAGATGATACAGTATATGATGTGTTTGTAGGGAGTTTCTGCTGAGACACCCGAAGCGTTCCAGCACCCTCAGCATGAGGAACACCGGTGTGATGAAGAAGGGAGGAATCTTCTCAGCAGAATTCCTCAAGGTTTTCCTGCCCTCTCTTGTCCTTTCGCACATCCTTGCTGTGGGTCTCGGGTGAGTCAATTAAACAAACAAACCGTTAACTTTAGTACTTAAACCTTAAATGAAAATAGAAATGGCAACTAGCTGAAATAAAATACTTTTTATATTTTATTTCAATTAATGGCAATATTTATGACTACAATTAACTAAATTAAACTAAAAATGACTACAATTATATACAAGTAAAATAAAAGAGCTATATAAAAAAAGACAAAACAATACAAATGACAAAAGTACATAAAATTACTAAAAAAAAAAATCTAAAATGAAATAAATTGGAAATTTAAAAATACAAAATTCTAAATATTAATATACTATATAGACATGTAAAATAACTACATGGTCAGGTCATATTAATTGTGCCTGTCAGACAAAAAAAAAAGCCAAGCCATATCTAGGGAATAGAATATTTTAAGGAGCTGTGGGTGGTTTCTATTGACTTGGGCCAATAAACAACCACGCAAAACACCGCAGGCACACCCTAGCAACCACATAGCA